GTTCTCTTGTCAAACTAAATCCAAAGTGCATAAAGTAGGAATGAATCATTATTGAAATTATGGCTGAGCTCAGTTTAAATATCTATGTCTTATGTCTGGATATAGTTTTCACATTTTTTCTTCTTATTCCAATTGAAAACTTGGCCTATGATTTGATGAAAAAAAACATAAATGTATATTTCTGCACATTTGTAATGGAGAAGTACTAAAACAACCAAGAATTCATTTTATAAAGAATTATTTACTTCTGAATAAAAGTACAATATTCTCCAGAATTTTTGTCAGCTTTTTTCACTCCATACATGTTCCCAAATCTCTTGTGAAGAAGAAATTTAGAGATTTTCACATTGAGATAAATAAATAGGAGCACCCTTAAAAATAAATAGCTATCTAAAAGTGAATATTTTTCTGCTTGGAATTTCCAGTGTAATAAAAGACATTAGAAATCAACATGCACAGACACACATAAACACACACACAACACACACACACACACACACACACACACTTGAAAGAATATATAACTCAAACCCAAAGGGATTACTTATGAAAATAACAACTGAGTTTGATTTTATTAACAGGAAAGAAAACATTTTAAAAGTAGAGGCCTATTATTTTTTTAAACATCATTGTTCCTTAGGATATCCTGCTAAATTGTTATGTGTGATAAGATTGGAGGGGGGAAAATCTTGTCTTACACAGGCATCAATCTTGCTGATGGTTACTCACTAAAAAGTAACTTAAAATATGTGTAGAATTATGAGGTGCTGTGATGAGAATAAAATATCACTTTTTCATCTATCATTTTAGAAATGAAAAATATATTTCTCTTTCATTTATACTCTTTTTTGATGTATTATCCTAATTAATTATATGTTGTTATAACTGTCAATATATTTTATGATATAATTATAATGATGCTAGTCAGTAAGTTTTCTGGTTAAAAAGTAATCTTTTTCTTTAGAAAACCAAAAAAAAAAAAAAAAGAAAAGAAAAGAAAACCAGTGTACTTCCTTGTTCCTTGTGACTGAATTAAAACACAAGAATCTTTCAAAATTAGTGACTACTCTTTGTAGGTGTTTAAGAATGACAATTCTAAAGCTGGGCGTGGTGGCACATGCCTGTTATCACAGCACTCAGGAGGCTGAGGAAGGAGGATTGCTTTGAGTTCGAGAACAGCCTGGGCTACATAGTGAGTTCCAGGTCAGTCTCAACTACACAGTGAGACCCTGTCTCAAAAAACCAAAAACGAAAAAATACCCTCCCAAAAAGAATGACAATTCTAGTGTAGTAACATTAGTGTGCATCTTCTAGCATTTGTAGCTTTCTATATTGCCTAATACTGGCCGTAGTAGTCTAGTACTTACTGCTGCACTTTCTCTCTTTCTTTTCTGAGCATCTTATATTTTTAAATATCCCTCTGCCTTTGTCTTACAAGAACATTTGTGAATGAATAAATTCTAAGGTAAATGATTCCCTAATGTCAAAATTCTTAATTATATCTGTGAAAAGCCTTTCATTCCCAAATAAATTTATATTCCCAGATTCCAGTAATTAGATATGGACATATATTTTGATGGTCAATATTCAGCTTACAAAAGGAGCATAAAGGAATTTTTTGTACAACTCTTGCAACTTTGTAGAGTTAGTCTAAAATTATTTAAAATAAAATATCAAAACCAAACATTATATTGACAAATGATATAGTAATTCCCCAACCAAACTATCTGATGAGCCAACTTGCTATTTATTTTTTAAATTTATTATTATTATTTCTTGAGACAGCATCTTGCTGTCTGTTTCAAACACTGCTGGAACTCATTATGTAGCCCAGGCTGGCCAAAAAGCTTGTAGCAGTCCTCCTGCCTCAGCCTCCCAAGTGCTGAGATTACAGGAGTGTGCCACCATGCTGAGCTGAGTAAACTTTCTTTTAAAGATTAACTTAAAATAAAAAGTACAGATAGGACAAATGAAAACAAGATATTTTTTTGTGCTTCATAATCATTCATAATTTGAAATCAGTGGAGATTTTGTGGTGTCAAAACTGCCACAATTTCTGACCTCTCAAAGTTTTGCCTTAATATTTGAGCATTCAGAACATCAAAGGTTACTTTTATTTACAAAGGAAGAACTGTGTCCTCAACTTTAGTCTTTGTAGGAGGAAATGCAAGAGGCTTCCAATGATTTTAATTGCCATAAAAAAGACTAGTTTTTCTCAGATGAAAGTACTGATGTCCAAAGGAATACTTTGGATTTGTTTGAGCTTTAATTAGTTCATTTGTCTTCTTTTAAATGATGTAGATTGATCTTAAGAATTATTCTTTTCCTCTCATTTTAAGTAGTTATTGTGCTCTAAATTTGATTACAAGTTACCTATATATTGAATTACAGAGGCCTCGTGTTGTAATTTAACTGTGTAAAATGGTAAATAATTGAATAAGTCAAACACATTTGCACCCAGTGATAGTTCCTTCTCGTAGCTGGAACCATGAAGACCAACGTCCCACTGAAGCAATAAAATAAACCATATGCATATGTTCAAGCGCACTCACACACCTACACATACATACACACAGAGGAAATGTAGCCCTTTACTGGATAAACTGTATCTCAAGGAACATGAGGGGAGTTAAAACATTTTGCTAACTACAAAAATGAACTGGTTAACAACTGCTCACTGTAGTCTCCATGATCTTTGAAGCTCTCAGCTTGTGTTTTTCACATTCTGTGTCTAAAATCTAGCATAATATTTATGTTAAACAAATGTTGCCTACTTAAATGTGGATATAATGACTTAATTAGTGTAACAAACAAGTACAGTCTAACACAAATGCTTCATAGTGAACTCAAATAATCATAGGATGTGGGTGGGACTTATAATCAAACGTGTGTGCATATCTGTACACATATGTATGTGTGCATTGATTCTTTTTTTTTAATATAGTCTTTAAGAATTATGGAGTCATAGATGCTAAGGCTGAAAGCAACCTCAGGTAGTCATCTGGCTCTCTGCTTTTCTTCAAGAGACAAGCAATTACTATTCCCACGACTTATTCAACCACATTTTCTTTATTACGTGACAACTAAGGTGATGCTGATCAAAAAATACTGCTCTCCATTCTTAACCAATTTCACATGCACATAGATGTTTAACAAGCCTTTTCTCAAAGGTATTATGAGAAAACACTAGCAGCTTTGGTATGAAAGAGTAATTTATGTTTTTGGGTTTTTGCTTTTTTTGTTTTGTTTTTTGAGACAGGGTCTCACTGTGTAGTTGAGACTGACCCTGAGCTCACTATGTAGCCCAGGATGGTCTCGAACTCACAGTGATCCTCCTGCCTCAGTCTCCCAAGTGCTGGGGTTACAGGCGTGCGCCACCACGCCTGGCTTCTGGAAGAGTATTGATGTTAGCTGGGTAGCTGCTGTCCAAACTCCCCTCGGTCACATTAGCCAGGACGTGCCTCTACCATTCCACTGCAGTCTTTCTTTTACCCTGGTGACAAGTGTGAATAATAAAATAATAATAATAATAATAATAATAGTAATAATAATAATAATAACAACAACTCGATAAGTCCTTCTTCAGTTGCTAACTCTGTTTCTTTTTTGAGTACCTCCTGCCTCAGATCACATCAGAAACTGAGGAGAGAGCGGAAGGAGAACCTGCAGGAGCGGATGAGGGCGAGAGGAGCACAGTTCCCAGGATTCCTTGTGTCTGTTCCCTCCCTCTCCACCCTTGCTTCCCTTTGGGTTCGTTAACTAGAAACGTGGAAAGGTGGGGGAGATGGATTTAACTTGCTCTGGCTTTAGTGAGAGACAGGGAAGTGTGACGGCTTCCGTAATATTTCTGCCCCAGAGAGAGGTAGTTGGATAATGTGCTGAGTGGTTGGGCATTGTAATGAAAAATAAAAGAATGAGATCGAGGGGAAGAGTGGAATCAAATTATGAGCGTAAGACAACTGCGCTGAAGGTTTCAGCCACTTGCAAAATTGAGAGATTCTATCAGGACTGTGCAAATACGTTGCTCTGGTTCAATTTCTTGGGGTAAAATATGAAAATATTTATAAAACTTAGAATTTTTCCCTGAATAAATTTTTCTTTGGGATTATAAGAAGCTAAAATAAGCCATAACCTGTATTTATTCAGTTAAAAATCTATAAAAATGATAAAATAATAAATAATTGAATAAAAATACTTCACTTTTGAGTAAAGAATCTCTATTCAGGTATTATTTTAAATTGCTAAAATATTGAAGAATATTCAACCAACAATGTAAGGACTAATGTATCTAAGAGGGTTTTTAAATTTGATTTTCTAAATACTGTTATGGAAATGATTTTATTACTTTTTCTTCAGACCTCTTTTTCATCTATAAAAGCTATCATTTTTCAATATGAAAGTAAATTCTTAAATTCAAAAGAATTAGACCTTTAATGATAGCAAATAATTCAGTTATAATTTAGAAAGAATACATTTGGATTCTAGCCTTTCTTTTCCAGTGTGAAATGATTTTAATTGTAGATTTTTTCTAAGTTTCTTAAGAATATATTTGAAGAAATCATTGATATAAAAGGATTAATTAAGAAACATCCTGATGTACAAAGCATTTCTCATATATAAATCTCTAGAAATATTCTTTTGTCCATCCAAAGAGAGCAAACTAAAATGAGATAATTGGGAAGGTATCCATAAAGTCAGCCTGAATATATTATCACAACTATATATGAGATAATATTTGTTTTAAAAAGATTCTATGGCACTGTAAACTCAGTCTCATTAGAGACTGCATTTAAAAGGCTTATAAAGTTACTCATTAATGTTATCTTGTTGTATCTCCACAGCTTTTTCATTAAAGAAAATTCAGCAGAAAGCATTTTCTCCTGATAGCAGGAACCAATTTGCAATAAATGTTCTGGAAACCACTAGGGAAGCCATTACTGAGGTCTAATAAAAACAGACAAGCGTAACTTGTTCTATATTTTTGTTTCAATCACACACAGATGAGACCCCGCTTTCTACACCAACTGCAAGAGACGGCCTTGACAAACTTTCTCTAACTGGGCATGGACAACCACTGCCTCCAGGTTTTCCATCTCCTTTTCTGTTTCCTGATGGATTGTCTTCCATAGAGACCCTCCTGACTAATATACAGGTAGGCCTATTCACACTCTGGAAGAGAAGAACATGTGATACCCAGATGTGGATTTTCTTTCCAAAGTTCATTCAGTTCCATTTAATCCATTCATGAAGTAGACTGAATCAGCTATTAAGCGTCCCCCCCCCAGAAATTAAAGCTTTAAACTTGCTACACTATTCAAATTGGCTTAGAAATACTTAGATATGTATATTAAATCATAATGAAACATAGATGAAAATGACATCGGCATTTAAAAATGCGTTCTGCCTAAAAGCTCACTTTATTGCCTACTATGGGTCAAATTTAACTGGTATAGTTTGTCTGATTTACCAAATGACGGCACACCAGTTCTAATAAATATTTAGATATTTTTAAACTGCTGGCCTTCCAGTGAGGAAATGATGTTTAGTCGTTTAAAATATGTGCAGTATAAAAGAGTCAAAAAAAAAAACCTCTTGTTTCATAAATAAGTTTGTTTCAATTAATAGGGATTCTTCAAAGAATAGACTTCAAAAAGCTATGCAAAAGTTTCCACGGATTTCCTATGTGGTCTTCAGGATGTATACTTTACGTACAGTACACTATGAATCAAAAATACTTACAGTTAACAATAACAGAGAGAATGGAGCCAAGATAATAAGAATGTTTGGAATAGGAGAAAGCATAATTTTCTTGCCCACACATGAAGTATCATGTGTATCCCAGATGGAGATTTTGTCATCCCTTTGTCCATATTTGGGGTAGTCAGTAGTAGGCATGAGTTCACAGACACTGTCGTCATGAGTTTCTCTTTAAAAAATTTTCACTCCAATCCACTTCCCAGGTGATATTTTTCTGAACACATTTCTTACCATATTAAACTTTTTCCCAGTAGAAATGTAATTAATTTTATTTACCTCTCCAAGGATGTAACAGAAGGTCTTTAATATAACATATCTTCTCATCCATTAATATGGCATTTTTAATACTAATATAATTAGAATTTCCAGAATTGTATTCAACAGTAAGGTGTCATATCTCAGTAAATCACACCACTCATCATGGTAGCCTAAACGGAATTATGACCAAATAATTGATTATAACTCAAAACAAAAATAAGACATTTTCTCCTAAATTTCTCCCCATGATTGTTTTCTATAAAGTGAACCTTAGTGATTTTTTTTTCTTTTATTGAATGAAATACTTTCTAAAATATCCCTCACCATTCTGAATTTAGGTTCTGAAAAGTAGGGAAACAATTCGTTTTACAATGCCATTTAAAACAGAAAGGCTAGCTGTAAGTATCTTCACTAACTAAAATCTCTTGAACCAGCCTAGTGAAAATTTAAGTTCAATTTCAGCTTTAAAAAGCCTTTCTGGTAAACCAGCACATTTTTTTCTTAAGAGTAGGTTTACGTATGGAACTTGGTACCCTTTGCATCTGCCAAATCTCTTGTCTCAGACTGATAGTTTAATCTCCAGTGCTATACAGACAAAAAGAAAGGAAGGGGGGGAGAGAAAGAGGGATAAAGGGAGAGAAAGGGGAAGGAGGAGGGGAGAGAGAGATATTAAAACACCTGCTTTAAAATGCACATACTTTAAACAATTTACCTAGTGAAGTTTCCTTAAATCTGCTATATTCTTTAATGATTTACTTTGAGGATATATTTTACTAAGAGTTCATGAGATAAGCTATTTTTATTTCAAATTATAGGGATCTTGATCTAATACAGCTAGAACACCTAAGAATCCTACATTAAAAATTGTTCTCTTTAATTTCACACATCTGTATGTATGCACATGGATGTCAGCATTATATATGTATATGTGTGTGTACATTTAAGATGTACATACAGTCTACATGCATGGACATAAGCACACATAAGGTCAAATACAAATCTGTGAGTCCCATGCACAGGTATAAACATATATACATACAAAAGCACACATGCATGCATGTATATACACACACAGACGTACATACGGATTGTGGTCACATCATTTTACAAAAGGTCACGGATGCTAATTCTTATTATTGCCACTTTTATTGAGTTATGGTAATATCCTTGGAATGGTATAGAATGTTTAAACAGTCATGACCCGGGCTTATTAGGCATACAGTATAAATGTGCTTGCTGTCTAAATTCTAATTTGGGTAATTACAGTCTGCCTACCTCAATTTCCTCTGCAGCTTCAATTATATGTAATAGGGTTCTCTGCGTTCTCTGTCAAATTGTAGCACACTTGTTGTATAATAAGTTTAAAGCTCTGTATATTTCCTTTAAAACACTTTATTTTTAATGACAGTCAATGGCATAAACTCTTCAAAATAATGTGTTTAAAGTATTGTTTTAATAGTAAAAAATTACATTTTATGATATACTATAATTTGACAATTCCAAATTATAAAATTTGCTAGCATTATTAGAGATGTCCCCCATGGTACATTTATCAAAACTGAATTTTCATAAATGTCATTTCTTTGTGTTTCAAAAGGTCTGTAGAAAAATACCGTATTTATATATAAAAATTGGGGAGCTGTTTTTTTACTTTTGATTTTGACTTTCACTGGTACAAGCTTACAGTATGATTACATTAACTGTATGGATTTGGTACATGTACATCACACATTTCGATTTTCTCCCCTCCCTCTGTTCCCCTTTTATTTTGCCACCATTAGATTATTTAACTGATAAGAACTTATAAAATAATTATAATACTAAAAACCAGACTAATCGATCAGAAAACATGTAAGGCATGTCAGACAGTTGTACTGTCAAGATACACGTAGAGGTACATGTCCGCCTTGGATTACAGTAACTATCTCTTCTCCCTCTTTCTCCCTCTCTCTCCCTCTCCCTCCCTCCCTCCCTCCCTCTCTTATTCCCTCACTTCTTCTCTGTCTCTTTTGCTCTCTCTCTCTAGCCAAATTTTTATTAATTAGTAGAGCTATACTGCTCTGTCTTGGTACTTGAAACTTTTAGAATTTAAAAGTGATAATATAAAAAGCTACCTACATTAAGAAATAATTTTACATTAGTGATGGATATGAGTACATTTTAGTTTTTGTTTTTAAAACTTTAAAAAAATTTTACATGGAACTTTACTTGATCTTGTTTTCATTAGGAGTAATCTTTCATTGTGGCTTTCCAATGCAAACATGTGCTTGGGAAACCACATGAGGCTTCCTGGGAGACAATTTTTGTGTTAATTAACTGGATGAGGTGCTATCAGTTATTGGCTACCACTATAACACACTCAAAAGACCCTACCCACTGTTCTCAATTTGAGTTTTCACATTGTAAATTACGGGTCTATTGGAACATAGGACTGGAAGCAAATTATGTACTTTTTTATACGTTTTTTACAAAAGTAATTTTAAGTGGCATACAGGTACTAAAATAATAATAGAAAAAATGAGTAAAAATGGAAATTTAAGAAAGAGTAAAGATTATAAGATTTAATTAGGGATGACATCAGAATCAAAGATTGGCTATAAGGTATATATAATAGGGGATTGATTCACGACAGTTTGTCTTCATAGAGTAAATAAGGCAAAAAAGCTAAAACTGAAAGAGTTGTTAAGCCACACAAAAAGGTATTTCCAAGATTGACTGATGGTTTAATAAAGAGACATAATGCATCGATGGTATCTAAGAAGTATTTTTGTTTCTGTATTGGAGGAAATAAAATTAAAAATAAATTAGCTGAATATTAAGACTGAAATATTCTCTTTATCTTACTCTATTTCTATATTTCAAAGCATAGCCAGTAATTGTACTATATTTATATATATTTAATGGGAATTTATTATTTATTTATTTACATTATTAATATATAGTTTTGTTGAAATAGATGTAAACAAAAGATCAGGAGAAAACTTTTCAAGTTCTCCCCAATAAGCCACTTGATTCAAAATATGAGTAGACTAAAATCAGTTATATTAGTATTATATGCTACGCTTTTATTATCAGTCATAATTATGTAATGATTTTTTCTCTTCTTTATTCCCATTACTAACTTTGAAAAGACCATAACAACATTAAAATATACCCAGCATTATATAGTTTAATGTGAAGAGAAAAGCAGTAACTTCTTTAAAACCTGAACATGTATATGCTGTATTTCTTAATTTCTATTGTATTCAATAATAATAGTAGTATGAATACTTAAGGAAACGTTTTAATGTGTCAATCTCTACAGTACCTATGTTTCTTTTAGACTGAATCTTCTTTACCAGTCTATACAGTGGATTATATTATTTATTCTTCATTGAATAATACAAAGGTAGATATCGTCACACAGTACGTTGCAGTCTGGATTTCAGAGGAAGTCAAGTTTAACAGATCATGTAGCTATTTTACCACCCATACCTATGTGAATCAAAAGATGGGTTTATACCCGGAAATGCTTTTTCTATATGGAGTCTGTCATTGATCATTTTTGAAAAACAATAACCATAAACTCATTTGAGAACAGTTCTTTTGTTACGAGAACTTCTGTAACAATGTTCCAGTTTATTCTGCCTTTTTGCGGATTGGGGATTTAGCTCAGTGGTTCTGCCGTCTGCTTTGCAAGCCCAAAGTCCTGAGTTTGATCCCCAGTACCAAAAAAAAAAAAAAAAAAAGAGTCCTGCCAGGACAATTTAGTAATTCTGCCTTTTTTTTTAATCTACAAAACTCCAGCTTCCAAGGAAAGCAATTCCTTCTCATTCTCTAAAGAGATAGGGAAATATTAGGAAAAATTAAAAACTAAGATGAAGTTTCTGTGGTTCAGCTATAGGCTTAATCACTTCTCAAGTCTACAGTCTTGGATGGTAATCTTACCCTTCTGGACATAGGTTTTTTATTTTTAGTTTTTTTTAGTATAATGGGTGGGTGTTTCATTCTCATCAGAAGAAACATTTTTCAGCACAAATTTTATCACTCCAAGAACCTCATCATCTGATTCTGAAATAAATTTGCATAAAATACGAATGTGAACAAAGTAAGCTTTTCCTCTTTTATTAATCTAACATATTAAGAAATCTTCTTCGATGCCAGTATTGCTTGAAGTATTTTAAGCAGTTTTTTTTTTTTTTTTTTTTACTTTCTAAGCACTATAGTTGAAACATTGCTAGGTGAATTACAGCACCTTTTTTAAAAAATTAGCTCATTCTATGAAAATAATTTCGTTTATAAAATAAACCATTTAAAAATATTTGTACATTACAACAATCATCACTTCTCATTTATGGAAGACAAACCTAAGGCCAATAAACCATTGTTTCTGTTCATTGAGATATATTTAAAATATATTTCTTTACAACTATTTACATATTGAGAACTGAACCCCCTTTGGAGAAAACAATCATATTTTAATCCTTCTATTTCTGCAATTCTCATTATTGCCACAGCATTTGACAAGGTATTGCACGTCCAAGTGAGACTCAGCACTTATGTGATCTCTTGTACACTATCTACCTGCAAATTCTACAGAAGTTGCAGAAATATGAAAATATTATTATCACAGATGGTTAAAATGGAGTCCTAATGATTTGTACATATTGCCAACACTACTTGCTATTGCTTTTCCCAGCCCCCTGCTGCATTGAAATTTACTTGGTTTCCTGTATTTTTGCAGCAGAACTGTCACTGGCAGTAACATACTTTTGCATATGCATCGGTTTGGCTCTAGTGCAGATTTTTGTTCACACTGGACACCTACTGATATGTACTGACTTAAAGTCTAAAAATTAAATTTAATTTTATATAGCTTATAAGTACTCCCTAGAGGGTATTGGATCTTAAAAGTTAATATTTTTCAGACATAATCAGCAGGAATAGGTAATGTATTGCCTTGAACCACATTAGCAGCAACTGTAACAATAGGAAACAGTAAACATAAATGCTCTTAGCAACTTCATTCTTTACAAAGGAATATTAATATAAAATTATACAAATTCAGCAGTTTATCATTATTCAACATGTTTATTCATAACGATTGTTTCATATTTAAAGAACACCAAAATATTGTGTTTTGTCAGCCAAGGACAATAATAGTTTAATAGTAATTTATTTTAAACAGCTACTGATAGTACAACCAATCAACACATTAAGTGGTGCCAACATTGGCATCTTGCTAAATAATCTCTAGACATTGCACAGAGAGTACATCTTTCAAAGATAAGTCAACAAGAGCAATCAGAGCAGAAAATTAGAATTTGGTATCTTAGAATTAAAATACAGCTAAACTAAAATTTTAATTGGGGTGATCTAAAAGGGCACTTGATGTAATGATCTCTTTCATTTGTTACTAATTGTTTGTTCCTGATGAAGAAGAAACATACAGGAATGTTGCTGAATTTAGTTAAAATGGCAGTTTCCTTAGCAGCTATGCTTTATTGTTAAACAACAAAAGAGTGGGGAGGGGCAAGCGAGCTGCTACATAGAAATCCTTCTCCAGCTTGTTTCATATCACAAAAAGTATACAAGAAATTTCAGGGTCAGGCATAACAAATATGAAATATTTTATGTGAGTTCGGAAAGAGAATAAAAATGGCTTGTGACTATGGTGAGCTGAAGCCAGACTACCTCTCCGGTGTTTGCAAGTCAAGCTGGAGTAGAAATTCCTGATTCACACTGCTCATGTTCTCACGTTGACTTTTGCAAAGGGATCTTATCTTCAACTATACCTATGATCGGCATTCACTTCCATCCCATTTATAATTTCAATTGAAAATTTCAGTCTGCAGTATTCACAAAGGCAAAATGCTTTCTACTTCAGATATTATTTTGTATTGTGGAATTGGTAAAAATAGAATTTTATCTCTAATTTTTACTATAACTTTGGTCCAAAGTATCTAGCCTTATGTTCAAAAGATTTTCATAATCTTGTTTGCAAAAATCTCAAAATATTGCCATTTAAAAATTATGCAGTAAGTAAAATTTTATGTATCTACCTCCTTAATCAGTTGTGTGAATAGATATATTTTTTTCACTCTATGCTTTTTCAAATTATCCTGTCAAATAACTTCCTAAAAGTTATTCTTAAATTATTACAATTATTATAATGACTTCTTTTTTTGGTACTGGGGGTCGATCTCAGGACTGTGTGCTTGTAAGGCAGGCAGGCATGGTGCCACTGAACTAAATCTCTGAACAAGTATAATGACTTTTAAAAACTAATATACTACAAAGTCGATATGTTTTGGATCCATTGAATGTACTATATACATATCTCAAAATATACCATTATTATAACTTCTATTTACGAATTTTTGAAATTCGCTATATTGTAGGCATTCTCTGGGCCCTGGGAAAATAATGCTGAGAAAGAGAATATTCTCTAACTCAGAGACCTTACATTTTTGTGAAACAAGCACAACATAATCAGTAAATAAACACCTGACAATATCACATAATGGTGAATACAATGAAGAATTTTAAGAAGCAAGTAACAAGATACATTTGAAGTGTTATTCCAAAGTGGGTGGTAAGAGAAAGTCTGTCTTCAGAAGTAACTTTGAGCAAAGAAGAAATAAAGTGGCAATGTGATCTGAAGCAAAAACACTGAGGAGAAGAACAAATTCCCCGTGGTGGAAACAAATTGTTGAATACAGAAACATAGAAAAGTTCACTGCAGTGTGTGGAATCTTGCGAGGGAGTGGGAGAATGGGTTCTGAGAGACGAGGGAGTGGCAGGATCTGCAGAGCTGCCTGACTTGCTTGTGGAAGAGATCTACTTGTGGGAACACGTCAGCTTAATTTTCTTCTCAGTTCTTAATTTTTAGACATGTTAATGTTCTGCCCCCATTTAGTTTTGTTTCTAGATATTCTAATTAGAAGCAATGGTACCTGCATGTCATAAATATTTGTCTTTCTATAATAGTTTAATTAGATTTGGAAATTTTGTAGCTTACAGTATTTATCCTAATGAGTGCTGGGCGAGTGCATAAGAATTAAAGAATTTGATGTATATACTTTTCTTTTTAATGATTTGAAGTAATGACAATAGTGTGCTTTGCACCAAAATATTGCCATTTCCAATACTTTCTTTGTACAGGGGCTTTTGAAAGTTGCCATAGATAATGCCAGAGCTCAAGAAAAACAGGTCCAACTGGAGAAAACAGAGCTAAAGATGGATTTTTTAAGGGAAAGAGAACTAAGGGAAACTCTTGAGAAGCAGCTGGCTATGGAACAAAAGAACAGAGGTATTTGTGAACTTCTAAATAAGCTTAATACTTTAAGTAAAATATTCAACACAATGATATACTTCTGTTGTGATTTCCTTTAAGACTGTAGATTTTGATTAATTTACCTGCAAAAATTTACAGCAGAATTTGAACCCTAGTCTGGCATTTCTTTATCTCCAAAGTACACATTTGCTCTACTATTTCTACTCAAGTGTTGACATATAGCTATTATATCATTGACCACATAATTTTCATTGCTTATAGGGTTTAGCAAATCCATAGCCTTTAAAATAAGAATATGCCCAGATAAGATGACAGCCAGGAAGAAAACTTGTATGTGCATTCACAATTGCCCTTTGAAAAACTAGAGGTAAAGTCATGAAGCTAAAGTAAAAAGTACTGATTATTCAAGCAAAGCAGGCTTAGTAAGGTATTTATCAGCTGAAATTGAAGACTGATGAATATCTGTACAAATGACTACAGTTAAGTTTTTTTATAATTTTCTTTCTGAATGACTCATTTTCATTCAACAAGGTCAAGTACACAGAGTAGAAACCAATATGAATTCTTATTGGGGAAAAACTAATGATATTATTGATCTGTGAATTGTGTCTTTTAGCACACACTCTCACGTTCATCTGTAGATGATTTTCAAGGTCATTTATATCTGTATGTATGAATTTGAAAGATATTTACATTTGCTTCACCTGTAAGAATCTCGCAAGTATTCTACAGAAAGAGGAAAATCCTTTTTTTTTTCATTAATGAGTATACAATTAAGGCTTTATATATTTTCCTTTCATATGTTTGACATGGTTACTTAAAGACCATTGTTTTTGTCTTGCTTATAAAACAAGCAGGACTGTGGAGTTCATTTCCCTAGTTATTATGTGATAACAGCTAGAGCCTTTCTGAGATAAAGTTGATTTGATAATCTGTCATTACACATATATAGAACAGATCTAAATGATGTGATTTCACATTACTTTAGATACTGAAATAAAGCAAAATAAACACTGACAATGGATGTGCTCTAAGTGAATAAGAAAGTTTGATCAAAGAGTTTAATTTGTGGACCCATTTTCTATGAGATATCCATGTCTTGATTTCTAACATGGAGAAGACTTTTGCCCTAGGTTTATGTGCATACTCTTGAATTCCTATGTAACTTTGTGGATACTGAGGAGAATTCTCAGAATTTTACTGGTTTCCAACCTCTTTGCAGTTTTACATTCTATTTTATTCCTTTAACCACTAGAGGGCAAAACATTCACAGATCACACAATGAACTTCTCATTTAATTAATTATGAACAGTAAATTAAAGACAATAATTATCACTACTTATCTATAATGGATGTTTCTACTGAGGCAGAGTCGTACCCTGAAGACAGAACGTGACAGTCCCATTTGGTTCAGTCACCCGGGAGGACACAGTGAGTGGTCAGTTGCAAGACACTGGATATTGAGCTTTTAGTGCCAGGAAGAGAGTATCATTCAAATAAATATTTCAAAATGCACTGTTTCTTTTCAAGGAGACATATAAATAGTATCATGTTTGGCAAAGGACACAGTAGGCAAGTAATTTTAAGATAAGCAAATGATATTCATACCTTTAAATAAAGGAAATTAGCATTTATTTGGAATTAGCTTTAATCATTGTTTTCTTACTAGTCAATTTTCATGTTGATTTTAAAAGTTTGTAAAATATATACAGAAAAACTAAACTCAACAAGTTAATGGGCTGTCATCTAAACAAATTACTAATGACACAAACAGAATATGTAGAAATTGAAACTAGACTACTTACTTCAACCATTATTACCTTAATTTATATTTTGACTAAATATTTTGTCAAATAAAAGATTATTTTTCCTTAATCAGTAGTAAGACATCAAATAATAAACTTGGAATAATTACACTTCATAGCATACAAATGAATTTTCTCATAGTGATTTTGTCATGTTAATATCCACATTTATTAATTTCAAAAAAGATGATTTCAAAGAAAAACATACATACTTCCTATATGCTAAGTAGTTATGATATATATTTATTCATAGAGAAATTTAAATCAATTACTATTCTGAAACAACAGTTAATGTGCATTTCATAAAGTACATTTATTTGTTATTATTTACTGATTACACATTACAGGCAATATTTAAATTGTTGGTAGGAGAAAAATATATCATAATCAGCTATGTACCATAATCTACTTTTTTACATAAAAAGACACTATTATCAACAACATATTATTGTTAGCATTGAGGTTTTATATATCACTAGATTTCTACAGAGTGAAAACGTAATAATTCTTCATAACTTGCTATGAATAAATTATTCTCTGAGAAAATTGTAATAGCTTTATCCAAACAAATGACTACTTACCTAGGTTAATTATAATTAGGAGCATTTTACTGTTATATACAAATATGTTTATTGAATTTCCTATAATTTTAGAACCAAAATTGTTAAACATCTATTTGTGTTAACATGATTTCAAACAAATATTTGTAGGGCAAATGTCTCTTCAGGAGACGGGAGACCTGCTTCTAATGTTTTGAACTTTTCAAACTATTCTGATTCAAGGACAGTTTAAGCCACAAAATTCATTTAATTAAGGTTCATTTATCAATGTGTACAAATATTTACTAAAATTAGTTTCTTATTAAATTTCTCTGTACCTGTGACAATTAAAAGCTGTCTAATAATGATTCAAGACTAAAATAAAAATTGGCTTCATTAGACATTTTATTAGGAATTATTTTAAGTAAATGTGGGATTTTTTTGAACTTTCAATGTGGAGGCAGATTCAGTCCAGCAAGAAAATAAAAACAGGTAAAAATATGGACCACTTGTAAATTAGCAACATTAAAAACATTTTTTAAAAACTAATGATGATGGATTCTTTTCTAGCCATAGTTCAAAAGAGGCTAAAAAAGGAGAAGAAGGCAAAAAGAAAATTGCAAGAAGCACTGGAATTTGAGACAAAACGGCGTGAGCAAGCAGAGCAGACACTAAAGCAGGCAGCTTCAACAGATAGTCTTAGAGTCTTAAATGGTAAGGAAGTGTATATTCAAATATGACCAACTTTTATTTTGAATACTCAAAGGTCAATTTAGATGTGAGTTTGTGATTTTGTATATTTCTATGAATGTAATTTACTCAGCGATGCTTGTAGCAGAAAGCATGGAGGAAAGAATGGTTAGGGGAAATATTTTATTTTGTAGGTACTTCGATTTTTTTATTACTTTAAGCTAGCATCTGGGATCTTGCATTACTTTATACTTAACCAAATCTTGTTTCCACCCAAAAGATGACAAAATGTTAATTAAAGAACTTCTGCTCCTATCCTATCTTGAGAACAGTATTATGTGACTTGTTTATCTATTTAAATCTCCTGAAAATTCCTATGACTACAGTTTCTGTTCAACCTTTAAAAGATGACAAAGATTTATGTGATTTTAATTCAGCACTAGAGTAACAGGTTGCTCTTGTTTTTAAAGGACAATAGGTATCAAATGACATATATGTCACTCTTACCTTTCTGTGCTTTTAGACTCTCTGACCCCAGAGATAGAAGCTGACCGCAGTGGCGGCAGAACAGATGCTGAAAGGACAATACAAGGTAGGAATTTGCAGAAGGCTATAAATCTAGATCTTGCTATATGAGTTTTTCCTCAGCTTTAGCCTGCTATTCAAGCATGTAGCCTACCATCTGGGCCACATCAAAACAAGTTCAAACAAGGTCAAGTTCATCTTGCTTGTTTATACGAGTGAATTCATTTTGTGCTGATAGATTTTCTTTAAATTAACAGGTCATTTCTGTTTATACAATGCAATTAAAAAGGAATAATTAATTTTAAACAATGTATGAATTAATCTGGGACATAGTAAATGTACTTTATTAAATGTTTGGAGCCCAACGTAATGCAGAAAGGGTTTATGTATTCTATACTACATAAATGAAATAATGGACTAGATAGATATGTATTTCTGAAAATTGAAAATTCTCTAACTAGTCACTTTGTGACAGTTACTCCAAGGCACACGCAATATGTACTCACTGAATGTTAACAATAAATTAGATTGTTCAGTCCCTTCATGGATTTCCAAATGCCTGCATGCCATTATATACATGTTAATAACACAAATATGCTAGAAAAATCATATATAGAATACTGAAAGGAGTTTAACTAAGCACTCAGAAGAGCTAAATATGTGTATTATCAAGACCACACTAGTAAGAAAGGACAAAATCAGAAGGCAGGATTTAAAATGAAACATCTAGACAAGAAACTCATTCTAACATGAACACTAAACAGGTACAAGAGCATTTGTTTTCTTTTTTAAATGAAGATGATTCTTAAAAGGAAAGCCTAAAATGATTAACTACCATAATCCTTCCAATTGCTTTAATTTTACATTTTAAGTTCAATCATTTTTAGGATATTACATGACATTAATTATATTACTTAGCTCCAAAATTGTCATTCTTACATTAATAGAAAGGAAATACACTTTTGCATAGTACCATATTTGCAATAAGTGACAATCGGAGAACTTGAAGAGACATTGGCAGGGACACAGGTATTATATTTTTTACCTATATTTATTTAACTTGAGGTCATAATAATTAGTTTTTAAATACTCAGACTTGAACTTTATATTATGAAACACCTCCTTGGAAAAATTTAATGTAATTGTAGATGTAAAAAATATTTCAATTTTTAAAGCATTATAGTTTTGAAAACAATTATGTATCTATCATTAAAATCATAAGAATCCTGTTAGTTGGGCCAGGGATTTAGCTCAAAGATTCTGAGGTCTGCCTCGCAAGCTCAAAGAACTGAGTTCGATCCCCAGTACCCACCCCAAAAGTATTCTGTTAGACATTTGAACAAGTTACTATTAACACAAATATTGTCCAGATTATTAGAGTTGATTTGATCGCCTCAATGAGGCCAATGGTTATTAAGATAAACCCCAGTTTTTATAGCAGGGACTATTTGTATACTAATTTAGATAATATTGAAATAGTCTGAGAAAGCACATGAGCCTCTATATAATTAGAATATATAACTTCTTTATACAAAATCTGTAAGTTCAAACTCAACCTAGACAAAATGATAGATAATATATTCCTGCATATAAATGAAAAATTTATTGTTAATATAAAAAATAGTTAAATAATGATTAAATGTTTTTTCATAATTCACATAGTATGTATGATATAAATTCACTGTTAGCAACATTTGGGTAATTAATAAAGTGTGATTACTTTTATTTTAGGGTTTAAAATCCATATATATATACCCAAACTTTAAAATGGATAGCCTTATTTGTATGAGCTTGAAATATTGATAATATTTAATTTCTATTGTTGTAAATATTTATTATGAAAAAAGAAACATCAAAAATTACCTTTTTGCTCTCCAGAATGCTGTCAGTTGAGTAACATAGTAAAGTTGCCAAAATAACCTCATGATTAGAGAAACAAAACATTTACACAAGAATTATTCTTAGTAATTCAATGCCAAATCTAAACTATTATGGGATTATTTTTATTTTTAGTATGATATAAAAATATTCCTTCAAACAACTTGCTCATTGTCATATGCACAGTCCCAAAATACTTCATTTTTGTTAGATAATATGATTTTTCCTCAAGTGTAATTACAAAAAACACCGTATGGATGTTTCTAGATGTTAGTTTCTTTAAAAAAATATTTCACTCAGGTGGACTATTACAGAATTTTGAAACAATAGAGCAAAGATATCTTTTGTTATTCATTTGGCCCTTTTAATCTTTTTTCTATTATTATACTAAAGTAGTACAATTGGAAGGTAAGCATAAAAGTCACTGTGAAGAGAACAAATCAAAGAAAGAAGAGTGTCTTTAGTGAAATTCTAAGCACAGAATGAGAAAGGCAAATAGGAGAGAGCCGAAATTCACCACTAATTTTGCATTTGGGAAACCACATAAACCTACTGCTGCAAGATTCAAAAGGGATACTAACAGCTTCTTGCCTCCTGAACCATGTCTCTCTGGATCACAAGTTCAATCGTTCTACTCTTGATATGCTTTTTTTAACTCCCAACCTAACCTTAACTGAAATTATTCTCCATTCCAAAATAAACTCAATTTAATCGGAAAAGAAATAAACAAGCGCACAATCTTATGATTATCACTTATTTTAAAAATTTTAGCAATAAGTAAATGCCACTGTTGGCCCAAGAGGTATTCCCTAAAAGTTGGCCACTTCTATACTGTTCAAGTGCCAACTAATTACCTTCACATAAGCAGCTCGGGTTAGACTAAATACTGCATCTTTGCCAGTATCACCATTTTATATCACAGTTTCCAGAGAATTAAAGAGGTGGGAAAGAGGAAACCTGAGTGGTTTAGAAAATACTCTTTAAGAATAAAGGCCCTAAATAATTTAATTTTTCTTCATAAGTAAGACTGATCATTTCATGGTTCACAGGGATAAATTCTTACTTGTGAATATTTCTAACAACTAACTCAAAATCATGAGTTTGATTGATGAAGATATTGTAAATATGGAATAATCAACCAAAAACTATAAAAGAAAAAAAAACTTTGGGGGGCTCTGAATCTTATGGCAATCAACTCTTTCACACTGTGAGTCTTAACAGATAAGTATGTCATGATTTGTGTTGAGGTTTAAAAACCTTATCCTACTTTATAGTTTTTTCTAGGACAGTTTGAATATATAGGAATGATTCACTGAGCAGCTGTTTGGCCTGGTCATTAAATATCCTCTCAAGCAGCCTCTCTCTACATATAAACATACACGCACACTCCTCTGTATGTTGCCAGCTCTGTAATGTGATCGTTTCTTCAATTATGCCCTAGTCTTATTTTCTTCTCTGTCGCTAGGCAACAGTATCTACTTAAATGATTTCTTTAATGTATATTTTGACAATTGCATACAAATATCTCTCCAGCCCATTTAAACATTCCTTAGCAGCTCCGGATAACACATAACTTTCTGTGTGGTTGCCTCACAGAGCTCTCAAAGTTCAGCACACAAAAGGAAGTAATCTCTCCACAAGGCTAACGTTCTCCAGCATTTCTTTCCCACAGTGACCTCGTAAGATCCAGTACAATGTCCATATCATGAAGGAAAAAGTGAAGTTGACATTTCCATCTTTTGCTCCCTCATGTTCTAGACTCAATCACAGCTCTTCCCCTTCTGTCTCTCTGATCCTGTCATGCTGGAATTTCTGTTCCTGATGTTTTCTTGAAGGCCTCCACTCTTTTCCTGTCTAGCAGGGACATCCGACCCACTTCCTGGCCTTTATTTACCCACCCTTGAAATGACAGCTGAAAAGTTCAGTGTTTGCTTCTGTCAAGGTAGCTGGGAAGAGCACGAGCAATTCTGCTTGTTCATGGCTGTGCCCCTGTTGCAGTGATGATGAACCTTTCGGAGAGGGTGCCCAAACTGCAACCCAAAACTCATTTATTGCAAAGTGACAACTCTGCAATACAATCTGAATACTGGGGTTTCACTTTAGAAAAACCAACTCATACATTAACACTTTCTGTCTTAAAAAGAAATCAAATAGCGTATGTGCCTTAGGTTGGCTACAACTGCCCTATTGTCTGGGAAGGTATTTGGCACACAAGGATACTTGCTATGAGTTCCCTGAAGGAAGAAATTAGATTTTGATAAATTAGGGTCTATGTTATGGAAATCGTTATTGTTCAAAATTTCTCAGTTGCAGCAACTGATGGAAGGAAATAAAAATGACATGATTCTGCTAGGAAAGTCAGAATTATAAATGTTGGTAGAATTAATGTTCATATTTGATAGCTGAATTAATAGTGCATGTTTATTTTTCATTGTATGCATTTTTAATGTCATTTTATTCTTTGTACATTTCACCTAAGGTTGCATTCTGTATTTATTTATGTCCTTTTAAAAAATTTTATAATCATATTTATTTTAACATCTCATAACCACACTTACTACTTAGCTTTTTTCTATTCCATTTAAAAATAACATGCTTTTCTTTTACTTGATATACAGGAACATCATGCTTCTTTTCTGTTATAATTAAAAAGGTTAAATCTGCCATGTACAGATTCTACCATGACATGGTAGATATTGCTGTGAGATTCTATCTCTTATAAAACTTCTGAAAAATCTTTAACTTTTACTTTCAAAACATTTTGAAGCATGTTGATCTTACTTTGTAAGTTAAAACCTATTCTTTTGAACCCCCAAATTATTGTTAAAATCAATAGGAATGTGAGCCAGAATGCCTCTGACATCCTACGTTATCTGCAACTTATGCTTGTAAAATTTTGATTTCCCTTGAAAGTACATGTCTTATGCATATCCAGTGCCCCTAATTAAAATTATTTTGCTTTTTATTCTCTTTTACCTGGTCTTAAATCATAGAAACCCAAATATTCCTTCAATAAAAAGACATAAAATACTTGTCCACACATCAACAATTTTTTTTCTTTCCAATTTAAAAATCTTCTTTCTGCTCCCTAGATTGAAGATAAAAGCTGAATTTAATTTTAAAATTATTCACTTATTCAATAAATATTTATTTAACATCAATAATATACTAAACATTCTGCTCTGTGCT